AAAAAAAAAAAAAAGAAAAGAAGAAAAAAAATAGCAAACTACCAACATCACAGACATAAACAAAACAAAGTGAGAACATTAAAAATGATACAGGATTCCAAAACAAAATGATAGGAATTAACAGTGATTGTTATATTACATATTGTTATCTTCAACAAAGTTGCTCAGATTACCAGGTATAAGAATGGAAGATTGTTCAAACCACTAAAGAAAATTAAAAAATAATAACTAAAAAAACCATTAGAGATAATACAGAGTTTCACTAGACAAGATGGTAGGAATTCACCAATGCTTGTTCTATTGTATACTGTTGTCTTCAAATCAGTTGCTCAGATTACCAGACATAAGCATGCATAACTGATCAAAATGTAAAAAAATTTAAGCATTGTTTCTTTCAATAAACCACCAGACATCAGCAGTACAGTTATCCTAGCTATCCATATATATATCTACACATATTGCCTTCCTTCTTTTTTTCTTTTTTTTCTTTCCCTCATCCCAGTTGTTCCTCCTTTGAGCAGTTTCTTTCCCTTTCATATTATCTATTGTATGTTTGGGTTTTATTTACTCTTTCAGGTTTTTACACTAGGGAGATAATATAATGTTTATACCTGTGGGTCCGATATATTTCACTTATGAGTATGGTTTCTAGTTGCATCCATTTACCTACAAAAGCCTCGAGTTTATCTTTTTTATAGCTTAGTAATACTCCATTGTGTAAAAATACCACATCTTTTTTATCCATTCCTCAGTGGATGGGCATTTGGGTTGTTTCCAAGATTTACCTATGACAAATTGTGCCACTATAAACATGGGTACATATATATCGCTGTGGTATGATGTTTTTAATTCTTCTGGGAAAATAGCCAGAAGGGGAATAGCCGGGTTAAGTGGGACTTCTAATACTAGTTTTGTGAGGAACCTCCAAACTGATTTCTACAGTGATTTCACCAATGTGTACTCCCACCAGCGGTGGAGAAGGGTTCCTTTTTCCCCACAGCCCTTCCAGCATTTGTTATTGGTTGATTTCTTAATGATAGCCATTCTTACTGGGCTGAAATGAAATCTCAGTGTTGTTTTAATTTGCATTTCTTGAATGACTAATGATATTGAACACTTTTTCATATATTTATTTGCCATTAGCATTTCTTCACCTGAGAAGTGTGGATTCATTTCAGATGCCCATTTTTGGATTGGATCTTTGAATTTTGGGGGCCTGATTTTTTTAAGGCTCTTTTATTTTAAAATGTTCTGATCAACCTGAATGTAAAAAGATACTATATCCTCTTCAAAAAATTAAACAGAATTCCCAAATGACCCAGCAATCCCACTTCTGGGTATATACCCAAAATCATACAAAGCAAGGACTCAGACAGATATCTGCACACCAGTGTTTACGGCAGCATTATTCACAGCAGCCAAAAGCTAAAAATAATCCAAAATGTCGATTAAACCCATCTGTCACAATGAACAGATAAAAAAAAAACAGCATACAGAACACTATACAGCTTTAACTGGAGCGAAATCCTGACAATGCTACAACCTGAATGAACCCTGAAGAAATGACAAATAACCAAAATAAGCCCGTCACGAATGGACAAATATTATATGACTCCATTTACAGTAGCTGAATTCCTAGAGACTGAAAGTAGAGTACATTTATTCCCTTTCTAGGTTCAAAATTATCCAAAACTGTCTTTTACCCCCAAAGGAAATCTGTCCCAGAGTCTTGTTTCTCAAAATAAGGTGCGTGAAGAATCTACACCAAAACCACATGGGAAGGCTGCTAAACGCAGATTCCTGGACTCCACCTCAGTTGAGTTTTGTACACACAGAGATTCTGGACCCCATGCCTCCTCAGAGAAAGAAAGGTTAAGAAAATTTAAGTATTGAGAGTATCTATTATACACCTGTAACCCCAGCACTCAGGAGGCTGA